AACCACCGTTCGTTGTGACCTTGTTTGCCATAACAAAGGGTAATCTTCTACCAATGGGAGGTTAAAAGGTAATTGGAGTTTTTCCTTAATGATGATGAGTCTGGCTTAATAAGAGTGTGCTTTGCTTGTTTGCCTTAACAAAGGTTGAAAGGCATACTAGAGGCATAATAGACAAGTATACTTACCGGAGTATACGTGGTGACATGTAGTGTCCACTCGATTGATCCGAGTATTACACTTGAGGACAATGGTCGATGCCATTGGATTGTGTAATCGGTTTGTTGGCTAAATTTATATTTGAGGATTAATGGTTGGTGCCATTAGCTAGTATAAATTGAGTTTGTTAGCCTACCTAATTAACTCATTCTAGCTTATTTGCCACAATCAAGGTTTGGAATGGGATTAATGGGATCTTGGCCCACTAGGAAGTCTACAAGGACTTCCCGAGTTTGATAGTGAGGGCTATCAATACTTAAGTAAAATAGTGGGAGTAATTATTTATAAAGACCTTAACAAATAATTTAATTAACATGTTTTAAATTCTATTTATTCAGCACTTGTTGATTCTAAAATGAGCACGTCGTCATTGTGATCAATCATTAACAAAGAGAATAGGTTCAATGGAACTAATTTCACGGAATGGTATATAAATCTTCGAACTGTACTCAAGTGCAAAACGAAATTGAGTATCCTTGATGGACCTGTTCCAGCTACGCTTAACGTTGAAGCTACTAAGAAGGAAAGAGATATTTATCAAAAGTATATAGATGATGTTGACAATGTACAATGTATAATACTAGTATCAAATTCAAGTGATCTGCAAGAGCAGAATGAACACTTGGATGCACAATCTATAATCATGCATCTCAAGGAGCTCTTTCAGGATCGTGCTCGATACAAAATGTATGAGTTGTCAAAGGCATTGTTTAGATGCCGGTTGGTTGAGGGTGCCAAAGTTGTCCCACATGCAATCAAGATGATTGGTTACATACAAAAGCTTGAGACTTTGGGTTTTGCCTTGAATGGATACTTGTCTATTGATTTGGTTCTCCAATCCTCGCCTGATTGCTTCTCTCAATTTGTATTGAACTTCAATATGAACTTACTGGGGAAATCCCTCACCGATCTCCTGAATATGCTTAAGATAGCTGAGCAGGATATGAAAAGATCCAAACCAGTGTTGCTAGTAGCCGCTACCTCTGGAAAAGGGTAAAGGTAAAGGTAAAGGCAAAGGCAAGTTTAAGCCCAAGCCCAAACACAAACCCGAGGATGCTTAAGGATGGGAAGGTAGTTTGCTCCAATTATGGAAAGTCTGGCCACTGGAGGAAATATTGCAAGGTCTTTCTAGCTAGCAAGGAGAAGAATACACCTTCTTCATCAGGTATGCTTATGATTGAGATAAATTTATCTCTTATTACATCTTGGATCATTGACACTGGATGTGGTTCTCACATTTGTACCGATGTACAGGGACTGCGACAGAGTAGATCGCTCAACCGAGGGGAGGTGGACCTATGTGTTAGAAATGAAACTAGAGTTGTTGCATGAGCTATAAGAGTTTATTATTTATCATTGCCTTTGGGCCTTATCATAGAACTTGAGAATTGTTTTTATGTTTCTACTATTTCAAGAAATATTATTTTTGTGTCCACTTTGGACGATTATGGATATCATTTTGTGTCTTTTAGTTTGAATGGTGTTCATTATGGAACTGCTAGATTACATAATGGTCTTATGTTCTTGATTTAAATAATAAGGAAATTCTTAGTCTTGAAAACAAGAAAGCCAACCAAGGCGATCTAAACAAAACTTATCTTTGGCATTGCAGACTTGGCAATGTGAACCAGACTTGCATTACAAGACTCTATAAGGACAGAGTCTTGGACCCATTTGACCTTCAATCTTATGAGGTATGTGAGTCATGCCTCTTAGGCAAGATAACAAAGTTGCCTTTCTTTGGAAACAGTGAAAGGGCTACGGAATTGTTAGGCATCATCTATAGTGATGTATGTGGACCATTAATAGTGCAAGCTAGGAGAGGGTACTCATACTTTATAATATTTACTGATGATTTCAGTAGATATGGTTATGTCTATTTGATGAGACATAAGTTTGAATGCTTTGACAAGTTCAAAGAATTTTGAAATGAAGTAGAGAACCAACTGGGCAAGAATATTAAATTCTCAGATCCAATCGAGGAGGAGAATACTTAAGCTCAGTGTATCTCAGCTCACACCTCATTATACACATCAGCATAACAATGTATCTGAAAGGAGAAATGAACATTACTTGATATGGTTTAATCCATGATGATCTTTACGAGTTTACCCACATCGTTTTGGGGCTATGCCCTAGAAGCTACGGCTCATACACTAAATTGTGTTCCATCGAAATCTGTCAAGATTTATAACACTCGATACCTTCGTCACTGTTTTACCATTCTAAGGACATATATCAATACATGTATAATGATTTACACAATATAATAAAATACCTTTTATTAATTAAATAACATGATACATAGAATCAATTTACAAAATGCGATTGGCTTTAGGGAACCTACTCTAACAATTTTGAGGCAAACTTATTTGAAGTCAATTTCTTGACATAAGCATCACAACCCCAAACTCTTAGATAGCAAAACTAGTTTTCACCCATTCTATAATTCTTATGGCATCTTATCCACAGACTTTGATGACATTTGATTTAGTGTATAAGCTACAGCATCCAAGGCATAGTCCCAGAATTATGTGGGTAAATATGTAAAACTCATCATAGACCGAACCATATCTAACAAAGTTCGGTTCTTACTTTCAGACACACCATTGTATAGAGGTGTATAAAGAGGTGTGAGTTGAGATACTATCCCACATTTCTTTAGGTATGCATCAAACTTTGAGCTCAAGTATTCTCCTCCCCTCTCAGATTAGAGAATCTTGATATTCTTGCCTAGTTGATTCTATACTTCATTTCTAAGTTCTTTGAACTTGCCAAAAGACTCAGATTTATGTCTGATTAAATAGACATAACCAAACCTAAAAATCATCAATAAGTGTGATGAAGTAAGAGCATACACCTTTGACTTGTACTATTAATGGTCCACATATATCACTATGAATGATGCCTAACAGTTCTATAGCCCTTTCACTGTGTCTAGTGAAAGGCGACTTGGTTAGCTTGCATAATAGGCATGACTTGCATACCTCATAAGATTGGAAGTCAAATGGGTCCAAAACTCCACCTTTGTGGAGTTTTGTAATGCAAGTATGGTTGACATGACCTAGTCTATAGCTTCAAAGATATGTCAGATTAAAATTGTCATTCTTGGTTTTCTTGTTTTCAAGATTGAGTATTTCATTATTATTTAAATCAAGAACATACAGACCATTATGTAATTTACCAGTTCCATAATGGATACCTTTTAAACTAAAAGACAACAATCCATTAGCAATTGTAAAATGATATCTGTAATCGTCCAAAATGGACACAAAAATAATATTCTTAGAAACTGAAGAAAGATAATAATAATCTGAAAGTTCTAAAATAAGGCCCGAAGGCAAAGAAAAATAATAATTTCCTACGTGTAAGTTATTTTGTCAACTTATGATTCTAGTGGTGTAACACTGGTCATGGTATGAACATTTCACTTTGAATATTGCACAATCATTCTTGTTTAAATTTCCAATGTGACCACCTTCAATTATGTTGTTTATCTGTTGTATCGGGTGAGCACCTTTGAGTCAGAGTGATCACAACGTATCTGGCAGATTTATTTGGGTAACACGTGTTATGCTTCTAGAATGCATGAGCTGTTATATTCTCTTTTGAGATATTTGTGTGGTCCATAACACTTGTCGAATTCATATTCAATGTGCTGGAAAGTTTTATTCTCTTTGATATGTGGTATCTTGATATTGGAATAAACTTTTATAAAGGTGAATTCAATAAAGTTATTCCTTGTCACCTGTCCCCTTGCATTGGAGCCCAAGTTTTCTATTTATTCGTCCCTTCCAATGCAATTCTTCTTAAGCCTGATTATTCCTCTGATATTACTCTGAAAATTCCTTGAGGTTTCTTTTGTTTTAAATTAGGTTTCATATGCCTTAGGTAGGCTTACAAATACCTTTTATAAACTTTCTTTATTTGTTTATGGCTGGAGCGTGGGTTTCCATTGGTGATGCTTAATGGGATTTCAAGTTTTGGAGGTGAAGTGCATCTTCGATGTTAATCCTTGAGAGGAGCTTAAGGCTGACCAGGTGGTCTTGTGAATGTGGAGCTTGTTGTGGTAGTTTGAAGTTCGACCAAAGGATGGAGTTTCATGCATTGTAAAATAGGGAGTGTTCTTGCAACTGATGCTTAACTTTGGCTTTGTAATTGAACTGTAAATGTTTATCATAGTGGATTGGCTTCATCTGGACAAGGTCCCATGGATGTTGGCATGTTGCTGAACCATGTAAAAATCTGGTGTTGTTTTACTTTGGTTTATTTTTATTGCTTTTTGTTTATGTTGAATGAACACTAAAATCAACTTAGCAACCCATTCCGATTAGGTTTAATTCACTTGGTAAAGGAATTAAATCTTTCACTACGGCTAATGAGCAATTTGCGCTCCATTTCCAACACATAGGTTCACCTCTTCTCGGCCAAGCGATTTACTCTACCGCAATCCCTGCATAGAATTGCAAATGTGAGAACCACATCCAATGTCAATAACCTAAGATGTAATAGGAGAAATATTTATTTCAATCATATACATATCTTTAGAAGAATTTAGCATTCTTCTTCTTGTTTGCTAGGAAGGCCTTGCAATGTTTTCTCCAGTGGCCAGGCTTGCCACAGTAGAAGCAAACCACCTTCCCATCCTTGTTTACACCACCACAAGGCCTTAAAAACATCTTAGGTTTTAGGCTTACATTTCGCCTTGGCCTTAGCCTTGGCCTTGCCTTTACCCTTTCCTTTTCCAGAGGTAGCAGCAACTAACAACACTGGTTTGGATTTCTTCATGTCTTCAGCATACATAGGAGCTTAGAGAGGGACTTCTCCATTGCATTCATATTGAAATTCAATATGAATTGGGAGAAGGAATCAGGCAAGGATTGCAAAACAAAGTCCATAGAAAGTTCTACATCCATGACAAAACCCAAAGTCTCAAGCCTCTGAATGTAACCAATCATCTTTATTACCTGTAGGCCAACTTGGGCTCCCTCAGCCAATTGGCATCTAAATAATGCCTTCGATGCCTCATATCGCTCATGTCTAGCACGATTATAAAAGAGCTCCTTGAGATTTGTAATGATAAAACTAGCATTCAAATGCTTATGTTGTTCTTGTAGATCAGACGTCATCGACGCTAACAATAAGCATTGCATAGTATCAGCGTCATCGAGATACTTTTGATAAGTATCTACAATTTCTTAAGTAGCATTAGGTTCAGGCACAACCAAAACAGGCTCGTCAATGATGTATAACTTTTTTTTCTAACTTAAGTACAATCCTAAGATTTTGATACCAGTCAATGAAGTTTGTGCCATCAAACTTGTTATCCTTTTTGATTATAGATCGTAGTGATAGGGTAGATATAGTCATTATGATATGTGAATCTACAATATGCAAAGTAAACAGATTTAATAACATATTATTTTAATTTAATTAATTAGCTTTCAATTAATTAAAACCTCCCACTATTTTACTCAAGCTAATGGCCTTCACTATAAAACTTAAGAAGGCCCGTTGGTCTTCCTAGTGGGCTGAAATCCAATCAATTCTATTTTAAACCTTCGCAGGGGCGAACAAGCTATAACAGATTTATTAGGTAGGTCAATAAACTTTAATTTACATCCATTAATAGCACCAACTATTAAACTTAAATGTAAACAAAGCCAACAAACAAATTACGTAATTCAATGGCACCAACCATTGTCCTCAAGTGTAATTCTCGGATCAGTAGAGTGGACACTACATGTCATCATGTCCATCAAGAAAGTGCACTTATCTACTATGCCTCTAGTGTATTTATCAACCTTTGCAGAGGCGAACAAGCAAAATACACTAGTTAAGTCGAACCCATCACTATTAAGGAAAACTCCAATGTATGATTGACCACCCACTAGTAAAAGTGTACCCTTCGCGGGGGCGAACAAGGCCATGACAAACAATGGTGGTTTAATTAACCCCATAGTCATGGAAGCGCGTGGTTATTTTTAACTTAATATTTAAACGAGTGTTTTAAAATTAGCATCTCACCATACATTATGGTTTTGACAAGGTTTCAAATTGAAAAACAACCTAGCATGCATACTACAACAATAAATAATCGGTACATGGCCAAACTAAAAGTTGGTTTCCTCTAGCCTAGAGGAACCAACTAGTCACCTAGGGTCCTATAATGAAACACATATTGGTCTTCAAGTATGATCGCTTCAACCTTGCTCCATCATTAAGTTCGTTAAAATTTACATCTTAATAGAAAATTACAGTAAAATAAATCTATGCTAATTTTACATCAATAAATTCATAAACCTCAAGTTACATTCGAGGTAGATGAGAAAAGAATATACATTGACAAAGAAGGAGAAAGGCAGAGCACGCAAGCCCTATTAAATTAAATTAAATTAAATTACAGTCATACATTCCCAACATGAAATTAAAACACTCACCATAAGTCTAGGCTCATGTATCGGACACCATACATAGTCAATCAATAATTAGACATAGCATACAATTCAAAACACCAATTTTGAACTAATTAGGTAAAATCACATATTACCCCTTCTAATACTGCAGATCATTAAATCGGTCCCTAAACTTGTGAAATTAACAGTTTAGTCTCTGTTCTAGGAAAACATGAACTAAGCAGTCCAAAAAAACTCCAACTGTAATGCCTCCATCTCATAAAAAATGCATAGTAAAAGTACATGTAAATAACATAAAAGTTGGGCCAAAGTTTTCTTTATTGAACATATGTATTTTTTATACAAATATATACAAGATTGTATCAAATGCAAAACTATCAAAAAGGGTGGACAGTGTAGCCATTTTCTTCGTGTGCCGATGTCCATCCGACTGTGTCCTCATCAGAAACTGCAAAAACATAGGGAACAACTGGATGAGCACAAAACCATGCTCAGTAAGTAAACCCATTTACTCAATATCCCCGTAACCTCTCTAATTCTTTCCCTACCATTTCTATTGACTCTTTTCTTATACAATATCTATTTTCTCTTCTCATAATGTAACAACCACTTCTTTTACCAAATTCATAATATAGATTAATAAAAAGACAGCATATTTCTCAAAACATGGGCCCAAAAATTTCTTTACTTAATAATTACATTTCTTACAAAACAAAGCATCATGTGTACAAGACTCTCAAAAATGAAAACAGTGGACAGTGCAGCCAAATCTCCAGCTTGCCGACATCCATCCGACCAAGTCCTCTCACATTTCCTGTATACAAAGAACAAGGAGTGAGCACAAAGATGCCAGTAAGTAAAAAGTCTCTTACGCTATCATCCCGTGCTAACTCATTAAATTCTTTGTATTCTTATCATTTCTAATTCAAATTCTCATTTTTCTTTCTTTCTTTTCTCTATTCTTTTCTTTTTCTCAATCTCATTCCACTTCTCATGGCGGAGACCGCTCTCCTCTCATAGCGGTTTACATGCATTCCGCCTTCATGGAGGAGACCGTTCTTTCTCCTAACGGTTCACATGCATTCCACTCTCTCATGGCGGAAATCGCTCTTTCTCATAGCGATTACAGCATTCCGCTCTTCATGGCGGAGACGTTCTTTCTCATAACGGTTTACACGAGGGTAACTTCTACTCACGAGTTCCCCATCGCACAACCTAATTCTTTTTTTTCTATAGCACTTAAGAATCATTTTATCTTCTAGTGACGTTCTTCTTTTCCTTTACTCTAAGAGAATTTTCCTTTTTATCTCTACATAGAGTGTTTCTTCTCATTTCTCATATTTATTTCCATGTGATTACTCAATTAAACATATGAATAGGATGACTCATGCCTAAAATCTTTTATATGCATTCATGACATGCAATTATGATATGTTGCATAAAGTAAGGGTCTCTACTTCTACTCATGCTTCTTTTAGACATTCATCAAACAGAATGTGTGCATACATAAACCTATTCTAACTTTAATTATGCTTTTCTTAATCATCCAAAATAGGAGTCAACTCCTTTAAAAAATCATACAACTTGCAAGGAAAATACACTTCAAATAATCTTCTCAAAACCTTCTAATTCTATCACTTCTTCACAACTTTAACAACACAATCCACCCTTCTCATGGTGGAAATTCTTTCTTATAACAACTTGATTTCAACTCATTTAAACATAAAAATTCAAGCACAAGCATATATCTAAAATCTCTACACATCATCAATCTAGTAAATCACAACTTAGGTGAATTTACTACCTGGCCACAAGTAGAATCCACTAAACCTCTCTACTCTTGATGGCTTTGACACTTTTCTAACCTTCATACAAAACTTATAAGGATCCCATTCTTTCAACAAATAAAAATTTGCGTCTAGAGTAAGGATTCTCACCTTTTAGTGCTTAGGATCAACTTGACAAATTCTAGTCAAAAGCTCTTCAAAGATCCTTGGAATCTTGAATGAAAAAATGAGAGAATAAGGGATGAAAGAGGCGGTGGTGAAGAAACAAATGAAAGGGTTTCTAAAGCTAACCTTAATATCACATATTTTCTCCACTCTTCCCAAAATACTCTCTCTCTCTTTGAATCCATTTAAGACCTTTCATTCTTTGCAAACACAACCCCATCAAACTATCTCCATGAAATTTCCTTACAATTCACTCCCCACTTTCCTGCTAAAAAGGGGTAGAATGGTCATTGAGTCTCAAAAGAAAGAAATTTCAAAAACTCAAGGGGGACTTCAGCCAGGTCTTCGCCGCGGCGAAGCTATTTTCTTCGCCCCGGCGACGTCTCACAGAAGCTACACGGGTTGTAGCACCCCTCATCGCGCGGCGACGATATTCTTTGCCCCGCGAAGACTGTAACCCTAACATTAGCCAAGTCTTACAAATTTTCAGGGAATCACTCGACCAAACCAAGACACATTTTCATCCAAGGATAAACCGAAAATATTAACAACAAACAACTCAATGAGGATAAATCAATAAACATTTAAGCCATCATAATTAACTACGTACCTCAAGTGGGGTGTACAATTCTCCCCTCCTTAAAAGAATTTCGTCCCCGAAATTCAGACAAACAACTCCGGGTAACGGCTTGCATGTCCTGCTCTGTCTCCCAAGTAGTTCTTAACCTTATGGTTTCTCCAAAGGACTTTCACTAAAGGAATACTCTTATTCGGAGCTTTTAATCTTCGTCCAAATCTGAACTGGACGCTCCCGTACACAAGATTCCTTCACAAATCATTCTCTGTATCACATGGGAGGGATCACTTACATATTTCCGTAACATCGAGATATGGAAAAACATATGCACTTGTCCATGCTAGGTGGTAGTGCCAATCTGTAGGCATACCTTCCCACTCGTTGCAACACTTCAAATGACCACAAATCTCGGCTAGCTTCCCTTTTTTCAAACCGCATCACCTGCTTAGAGGGAGAAACTTTCAAGAAAACTTTATCACCCACTTTGAACTTCAATCTTTCTCTTCAAATCGGCATAACTTTTCTGTCTATCTTGGGCTTTGCATTCTTCTAATCAGCTTCACATCTTCAATCATTTCTGAGTCATCTTTGGCCCAAAGCTAAATCAACTCATCTTTCCATACTCTCATCCCAATGTAATGGAGACCTACATGTTACCATACAAGGCTCATACGGTGCCATCTTAATTGTCGACTGATAACTGTATTGTAAGCAAACTCCACTAAGGGCGCATCTCAGCCAGGATACTCTATAATCCATACAGCAAACTGCAACATATCTCAAGACTTGATGTTCTCTCGTTGGTCCATCAGTTTGAGGATGGTAAGCAGGTAAAAGCCAATCTAGTACCCAGGTTCCTCTGTAGCTCATCCAGAAAGCGGAGACAAATTAGAATCTCTGTCTGAGATTATCGTTGGGTACCCATGAGTTTCACTATCTCTGATATAAATCTGGGCTAGCGATGATAGTAGTGCTCTCTTTCACGAAGGAAATGGGCTGATTTTGTCAGTCTATCCACAATCACCCAAATGGCATTAAAACTCTCTGAACTCTAGGGAGACTAAAAAAATCCATCGAGATACTCTCCCATTTCCACCAGAATACTAAGTGGTTGAAGCAATCCTGATGGCCTTTGGTGTTGCTTTCACTTGTTGACAAACCAGGCATTTAGTACAACTCGCAAT